CTATGCGGGCTTTCATATGTCTTGCACTGAGGAGAGGCTTCCGTCGGGCCACTCTGCCATAAAGGCCCGACTGGTGGAGGGCTGCAGTGATAGTTGACTTTGTGGAACTTTCTCCCATCTCCCTACTGCATCTCTGGAGCTCAGCCACAGTGATCTTTGGGTTCTTCTTTACCTCTCTCACCAAGGCTCTTCTTCCACGATTGCTCAATTTGGCTGGACGGCCAGGTCTAGGAAGAGTTCTGGTCGTCCCAAACTTCTTCCATTTAAGGATTATGGAGGCCACTGTGCTCTTAGGAACCTTGAGTGTTGCAGAAATTCTTTTGTAACCTTGGCCAGATCTGTGCCTTGCCACAATTCTGTCTCTGAGCTCCTTGGGCAGTTCCTTCGACCTCATGATTCTCATTTGCTCTGACATGCACTGTGAGCTGTAAGGTCTTATATAGACAGGTGTGTGCCTTTCCTAATCAATTCCAATCAGTTTAATTAAACATAGCTGGACTCCAATGAAGGAGTAGAACCATCTCAAGGAGGATCAGAAGAAATGGACAGCATGTGAGTTAAATATGAGTGTCACAGCAAAGGGTCTGAATACTTATGACCATGTGATATTTCAGTTTTTCTTTTTTAATAAATTTGCAAAAATTTCTACATTTCTGTTTTTTTCTGTCAAGATGGGGTGCTGAGTGTACATTAATGAGAAATAAAATGAACTTTTTTGATTTTAGCAAATGGCTGCAATGAAACAAAGAGTGAAAGATTTAAAGGGGTCTGAATACTTTCCGTACCCACTGTATATCAGAGCCATGTCATACGCTAATGGAGAAGAAGTGTTAACTGAACCAGGTTGTCTTCCCCAGACAAACAGGCCACAAGAAGAAGCTCAACACCTTTATCAGTTTTCCAGAGCAGCTGGACATGGGGCCTTTCTTGGAAGGAAAACAAGGTATTAGCAGTAATAATCTCTGTGACACACTCACATTCTGCCCGTTCCCTTAACCATCAATGCATACTGACATGTGTTAGCGATACAGAAGAAACAAAATGCATACACTACCCTTTTTATGTCTCTTTTAATTTAAAGAATTAAGACCATGCCCTTTGTATTCACAAAGGAAGAGGGACATTTTTGATAGTCCTCAGTGTCAAAGCAGGGTACCTTCATGTGGGTGATGGATTGCTGTCACAACAAGTTCACTGCTTGCTAATATGTGTTTAGTATGAGACATTTTTTGTTGATGACTCTTTGAAAAGTAATCGGGTTGATATTTGTGCGTCTTTGGACGGACTGTTCTTCCAGACCAGAAGTGTGTTTATGAACTGAGTGCGGTGCTGATCCATCGGGGCATCAGTGCCTATTCAGGCCACTACATCGCACATGTGAAGGATGCTCGTACAGGCGACTGGTACAAGTTCAATGATGAGGAGATTGAGAAGATGGAAGGCAAGAAGCTGCAGCTTGGCACTGAGGAGGACATAGGTGAGTGGTGCTAAATGGACTGTGTATTCTTTATCCTTAGCTACATCATGTAGTGTAATGTTGTAGCACTCTTATTGTTATCCAGTATTATTTTATATGTAGAAAAATGTTATTTTACTTTGAAAAAACATATCGAGGGCCAAAGCGCAAAACCTCCTAGCTGCAGAATTTTCTGATTGCCGGATTTCACTTTGGATGATGAGAACAAGGAAGGCTGTTCATATTCAGTCTGTCTTAAAATAATCCTGCCCTTTGTTGAAACTTAATTTAGAGCATCATTTTGTAGAACCTCTTCCAACTTGCTCCAAGTGCAAAATATCCTATCTGCAAAATGATCCAGGCATTTTTCAGATAGGAGGTTTTGCTTTTCAGCCATCGATATTGTAAATCAGGTAACATCTTCAACTGCAGTCCAAGATTTGAAGAAAATGAATTATGAGTCTCACCTTTTACCCACCTCAGGTTCATGTCTGTATATGTATACACTGTCAAAGTTGTTGCTCTTTTTCTTGGTGTTTATGGTCCCTAGCTGAGACAGTGAAGTCCCAGACACGAAAGCCAAAGTGCAGTAAAGGCTTCCACTGCTCCCGAAATGCCTACATGCTGGTGTATAAGGTCCAGGAAGAGGAGAATACTGATCCCTCCTGGACCAACGTCGAGGTTCCAGGTGAGAAGTAGAATTTTAACTGGTTTACTTTTTTTTGTTTGTTTAATGTGTCCTTTAATCCTTGATGCAAACAAAGATGGCAGCCAGAAAAGGAAGCAGTGGCCATTTCCGCTTTGCGTCAAGGAATTCATCATGTCTTGAGGAACATTGTTATTATAGTAAAAATACAGTCTGGTCCACATTGCCTTGTCTGATGGTTTCTTTTACCTCTGTCCAGCCTTCCTTCAGAGGCTGGTGGACCAAGACAACCACAAATTTGAGGAATGGTGCAATGAGATGGCCGACATGAGAAAACAGAGCGTGGATAAGGGCAAAGCCAAGCATGAGGAGGTGAAGGAGCTCTACGAGCTTTTACCCGCAACAGACGGTCGGTAAAAACATTCCCGAATCACCCACAGTCCACTTAACAGAAACACTAAAGCGAGTGTACATGTTTGTTGTGACTTCAGTTCAGACAGTATAATTAATGTGCAGTTAAAGTGATGGGGGGGGGGGGGGGGGGGGTATTGCTTAACCTGTACAACAGCGCCCCTGTCTGTAGTAATACTACAAGTACAACACAATGTGCCACTGAACCAGGACCATTTGGCAAATACTGTGTCTTGATGTTAAGTGTTAGAATGATGTCAACAGTTTCCAGTGTCAGAGTTACAAAAGGGGTCCGGTGTTGATCAGAACTAGTAATTTCATTCCTTACAATTTCCATAATAAATGTGTGTCAATATATGGACATGTGAGGGGTGATACGCAGACAGCCAGATGTTACACAGAGTAGAGGTGGGCGATATGACCTAAAACCTAGATCACAGTATTTTGGGGGGCTTTTGTGATGATGGTATTGCATCACGGCATTACAAAATTATAAAAGATACTCCACTCAAAACATGATTCTACCATTTATTACTGTGTTGGTAATGTAAGGGAACAGATCTGGATTTAGAGAATAAAAATGAGGTATAGACCTACATGTGTTTTGGAGGGAGTATTACATAAATGTAATGTGATTCATTTAGTTGGTAGCAACAGCCATGCTGTTGTTTTGAATTGTGAGTCAACTGTATTGCTGAGCAACCTGGATCTCAGCATATTTGGAAAAAAATGTTTGTTTTATTTCACATTTATACTGTTGTTCCATTATTCCGAAGTTGTTTTCACCTCAGCCAAAATGAGAATAACCTTTTACATCTTAATCCACATGAAGACAGAGTTTGAAAATACACAGCATAAACTCTGTTGGACCAGTACTGTATGAAAGATACTGCAGGCAGCTCATCTAGAGCTGTTTTGTCTCAGCAGAAATGGACCGTGACAATGATCGGCTGAGGGCTGGCAGTAGCAGCAAAGCTGACATATGTTTGAGCCGCAGCAGCGGCTCGTCCTTGTGTGTGTGTACTAAAACCAAAACGTGTGTGTTTAGCACGGTAAAGACGATATTGCTAAAGACATATCGTGGCCGAACGTTACACCGGTGTACGACACACCCCTATTGCAGAATGAGCCTGGATTTAATGAATCAAAATCCAAAGTCCTGTGTCTCTTAATGTTTGGTGTGTCTCTCTGCTTTCCCCCCTCAGGCGAGCCGTATGAGTTTATCCCGCTGGACTGGTTGAAGAAGTGGCTAGAGGACTCCACTGCTACAAAAGAGATCGACAACTCTCTCTTCCTTTGTTCTCACGGCAAACTGCACCCAGACAAGGTGGCCGATTCCAAGAGGGTTTCCCTTCAAGCTGCTCAGCTCCTCTACGAGCGCTACAGTGGAGGGCCGAGGATGGACGGTCAGTCAAACAGAGGGTTTGGTCTCTTCTCAAATCATGAGCTTCATGCTTCATGCTTCCAATTAAGTAGTTACACAGAAGTAGGTATCACAATGATTTCTATTCTACAACAAACAAATTCTGAAACTCATTAAACCAAATATTACGCATGTAATCAACTTTGCGTAGCTCTAAACATCCTCATAGTCTCATTGTTATGTGACACTTAAAGGATGAGCCTGTGTTATAGGACTTGTGCATGTTTTGTAATATCAAATGAAACACTATGCTTGTAACACATAAATAACATCACAGCAAACAGGATGTGCACTATCCAAAACTTATCCAGCTCTTTTATCACCTACAAATCCCTTTATCAATGAAAACTCCTAGGTTGTTTTTGTTTTTCTAGAATGTGAGTATATTTAAACTATATACTATTTAAAGAAGCAGCAGCCACAGCTAACTGAAGTGGTTAGTTGAAAAGCAAGTTTGTTTAGCTAGATTAATCAATTTCTTAACCATGATTAATCAAACACTGAAAAATTATCAACATCACAAGTTGACCCACGAAAGCAAAGCAGTGGTTGCTTGCATGTGTTTTTGACATTTTAGGAAATACTCTAGTTTGCAGTCAGATTGCAACTTTGTGCTCAAAACATATCTCAACCTTTAGAAATGTGTCCCATCTGGACTTCTTCTAAAAGCACAATGTTTTTGTCTTCCACATTTGAACATATCCCTCCTCTATGTGTGTGTGTGTGTGCGTGTGTTAAGGCTCTTCTCTGTGTAGAGATTGCGTTGGCCAGCGATGTAGAGTGCTGCGACTGAAGAACCAGCTCAATGAAGACTACAAGGAAGTGACCAACCTGGTCAAACGCACGCTCAGGTAATCACACTCGCTATAAGTTGGGTTATTTAGATTGTGGTGTTGCGCATCCAGTCAAGTTTAGATAAAATCATATTTTAATAGCCGGCCTTTTTTCATAAACTAGTGCTGTCAGCAAATATTAAAAATTTTCATCTGAAAATGTATATTAAAATGTGAAAACAACAGCAGCACTACTGCGGCTGTATACCTCGAGCGCACTGAATGCACCAACTGACGGGGTTCACACAACAGCCCCTTTGACACAGAGATTCCTCAATACTGCCATGAAGAAGATCCGCTGTTACCTCACACTGAACCAAACAATGTCGGCATAATGCCGCCCCCAGTGTGTGATTTAAGATTGCACACCGGCATCACAGCAGCAAAAGAGGCGTTGAGTTTAACACAAAAGTGTTAGGCGTCTATTGTGATGGCTGGCATTTGCGGCAGGCAGTGACTTGCACTCTAAACAATAATGGCGGAGGTGTTGAGGTCCTCTGCTCGGAGAGTAAGGAGCTCCCGGACATTGTCGTCTCCCCAATTTGCTGCCAGTTTAGGTTAGCTGCTAATTGCTGCTAGTGTTTTTTTAAATCTCCCAGTGGTTGGAGCGCACAAATATCACATGAAGCGTCACCCCCTTTCCGTCCTGCCGGCTGTCCCTTTTCACACAGACATCGGCTCGGCTCTGTGACTCTGTGGGTCTTTTTTAAGAACGAATATTCAAAGTCATTTTTGGCCTGTTTTGACAGGAACATTACGTTAAAGTTGCTTCAATAGCTATGTCTGAAAAGGGACAAGATTCCATTCCCTTGTGTTGAAGCTGACAATTCATGATCCAGTGTGTGACCAAAGTCAATGAGGGGTATTTCAGAACCAGTGTGATTCCTCCATAAGAGAGAACTGAAGTCCTCAAGGGAGCATACAGAACTGCTATCTAATGTAATCACAGGTGTTTCTCACTGTGTGTGTTTCTCTCTCTCAGTGGTGAGGGTTGCTGGGTGGGCAAAGCATCTCTGCGTAGCTGGAGGCAGCTGGCTCTAGAACAGCTGGAGGAGGACGAACACGAAACCAAACACAGCAATGGCCAGACCAATGGACAGGGACCACACAACAACAGCAAAGGTGGGGGGAATGACTGTGATTTTATTCATAGTTTCTTTTTTAATCTGTGATGTGACATCTAGAACCAGCGTAATTTCAACTTGATTTTTGGAAACATAGTTTATGTGATTTATAGGAAACTACATACACAATGCTAATTGTAAAACTAACAAGACTTCAAGTCTACAGTCATTCTAGCAGTTGAATGAGGATGAACTCAGTGCAGCTGAGATTGATGGGAATGTCATTAGTTTTGCAGGTATTTGGTCATAAACTAAAAATGTAATCTTCACTTGAGGTTGCTCGATGAAAAGTTAAAGGATCCCCAAAGAGATCACAGTGCATTCGAAGGGGAACATGAATGTGTGTAACAAATTCCATGGCAAGGCAGTTTGTGTTGTCGAGACCCTTCACACAAGACCTCATGGTGGTGCTCGAGGAAAACTCTGATGGCAGCAGGGTTCATCCTCTAGGAACCAGAAATCTCGAGTACCAAATTTGATGACAATCCATCTAGTAGAAAACTTTGACCTAATGGTGGTGCTACAGAAAATGACATGGTATCATCAAAGCCAGATTCTTCCTCTGGACAGTATGGATTTCTGTACAAACTTTCATGGCAATCCTTCCAGTAATTGATGATATTTCAGTCCAGGTCAGAGTGGTGGACCAACATTGCTATCTCTTGGGCTAGCATTTTAAAATGTGTTTGAAATTATAAGAAGACGCTGTCTGATTGGTTTGGTGTCATTGTATTTTAGTGTGAAATTCAACTAACATCTCATCTGCAACGTTAAATGTTGTATTGATAATATTTTTATGTAGACACATTTTTTTTAAACAATACATCCACAGAGCTTTTAGAAAGGTGCTGGAAAAAAAAAAATTACGATTGTGAATTAATCATTTAAAAAGTCTTGACGTGTCCAAAATGAATGTTTGTCTTTATGGGAGGTATGTGACATTTGGTTGCTGCGTCTAAGGCTAATGAGCCAATAGGGTCAGCACCCAGCTTCACTCCAGTACCGACCAACAACAAAGTTCTCAACGACTAAAGGAGGCTGCTTCTGACACTGGTGTCTGATTGCTCTCCATATATTACAATTATTACAACTGCAACAAGGAACAGCTGGTGTTAGCTCATAAACGCTATCTTGGCTTAATTGTCGGAACAACAATAAGCCATGAAATTACAATTTTGCATATTTAAACAAAATCAACTAACAGCCATAGTCCTTAAAACCTTAACTAATGCTCTGTTACTGGTTAGATTGTCATGAGGACAAAGAACAGCTTCAACCCTTGAGGAGCTACGTCAACATCCAGTTAACATACCAAACGTTATAATTCCCTGAAACAATGTATGTATGTTGTATAGCTGTTCTTTAGGTAGAGGCACACTCCTACAAACATCCTGGACACAACTGGCCACCACTTGTTGTGTAGTGAATGCAATGGAACAGGGGAGGGAGAGTGGGACATCTAGTGGCTGAATGTTATTCCTGTTTATGGTGAACTGTTTGATTGTAGAGTTCGGCTCAGAGCTCTCAGAGGGCAACGGGGACGAGATGAAGACCTTCAATGAAGACATTGTCTGCTGTCACGGTACTGTCCCATCATCAGCATCTACAATAAACAATTTTGAAACAAGAACGGTTTCCATTACATTATTGCATACCACCCATAGTTCATTCTTAGTATTTTAGCTATTAAATGTGTATGTTTGTTCCTGCTGTAGGGGCTCTGAGTATTTTGGAGACCGAACGAAAGCTGGTATCTTCTGAAGTTTGGACCAAGCTGAGAGAATACTTCCCCAAAGCCCCAGAATTCACCCAAAACCAGGACTCCTGTCAGCAGTGCCTGGTGAGTAGGTGATGACAAACCGTCCAGTGTTGCACCACACTGGTCACTTTCATTTTCTATTTATTCCCCAAGTCGCCATTGTTTTTCCCAAAAGTATATCTAAGCTGCATTAAAGTTTCAGTTGTAAAGAAGGTATTGCTCACAGTGGTGTAGGTGCCACGGCAACACTAGATGGACATCCAAAGACTGTATCAGTCTTTAATTCCATACCGACGATCATTGTGTTTACAATCTGTGACTCCTCTTGTGATGCAGAGTGACAGTGGGCAACTATTTGATGCTATGACAGCTATGTGGCTATGCTCTGTTGATGCACTGTAACCCCTAAACGTGGAACTGTAACCAGCCCAAGTGGATGAAAGCTATAGCCAGACAGAAGGCATAGAGAGGAATGGGTCAAGGCATCCAAAGTCGGTCGATGTTTCTCAATAAACAAAAGCATTGGGTTAGTTGTGGAATAAAATGTTTCCTTCCTGTGAGTACAGACATTAGAGCAGGAAGAAAAGGACAATGAGGCGGTGAGTAAGATGATGGCCCTGGACCAGAAGAACCAACTGCTCAACCTCTTCAATGAGAAGAACCGGCCGATACTCAACAAGTGGCCTCAGGTAGACACAAAGCTAAGCACCCATCTGTCAGTCTGCCAGAGTCATGGCTGAATGGAACATATATATAATCTCCCTTCTATCTTGTTTATTAAATGGTGACTCTATTTGGCCCTCAATGTAGTCCCAATTTTTAATTTTGTCCCTCCCTGGGATTGAGTTTGACACCCCTGGCATATATGCTGTATTATGCTAAAAGGTGTCATTTTGTAACGTTTTTGGTTGTGCCGCGGGATCTTCTTAATGTAAAAAATGTGCCGCGGCTCAGAAAAGGTTGAAAAACACTGGTGTAATAAATGCAATTTGAAATATACACCTTGAAAACTGCAAACCTATCTACTTCTTTTTTTATGTTTGTTAAATTCTCAGTAGCGTTAACTAAATTATGCTTGATACATATTCCAAACAAAAACACTTTAAAAACTCGACAATATGTATTTTAATATTGTCACTGTTGTAAATTGTTTGATTGCATGATTTACTTTTATTGTGAAGAGCATGAAAACGGAAGTGCTTTTACTTTGAAGAGACAGGAAGTAGAATGGTACGTGTTCTTGAAGCTAACAATGTTGATACGTAGAAAACCACATGTCTGGTGCAAGAGCGCGTTCTGTTCACTGTAACACTGTAATACTGCAGTTCAGACAGTAAAGTATTCCGTTCAAACAAGACGTGTCTTGGTCCTCACTAGAAGCTCCACTTCGCAACAGTCACGTTTGATCTGTAACGAGACGATCGCGCGCGTGTTTGTGAGACAAGAGTGAACGACGGTGACGGAGTGTAGGAGGGGTTCCGGACACGGGGGGAGGAAGGAAGTGACGCCACACAAACGCAGCTGTTCACTGCTTGCTGCCTGGTTCTTGTGTTAAAAATGTCCGCTAACAGTGGCGGGCCGTCAGGGCCTGCAAGGCCTTCTCTGCTGGCCTAAACAGAATCACAAAGTTATATCTATTTTATAATTTAATAATTTTTCTTAAATACACTACATGTATCATAATTTATAAAAATATTTTTCCCATTATCTTATTTTCTCATTGCACAGCTACTGTCTTCCTCAGTTGCTCTGCTTCCAGTGCAGCTTGTTTTAAGTAGAGCTTTTATCCAAACAGATTTCACCTCTGTGTCTCTAGGTAAGAACAGAGCCGGAGGCCTGCAGAGTCTCAGGTGCATCCAGTGCAGATTAAAGTAAATGGAGACGATATTGTTGATTTTAATAGTGTTCAACCAATCAGATCTTTAGTTTGACATGTTGGGCGTATTCTTTGATGTGTTTGACCTGCTAGCCGGCCTATAATGGCGTCAACATTACGTCAACGTTGAAGTTGTGAAAGTAAAATCCTATGATAATCTCTTTGGGTCGCGGCTTGTCATTAAGGAATGACAGTGGATCCCACAGCCAGACCAGCTGAGAACATTATATTTTCCTGAATTTAGGCTTTTGTGTTTTCTAAATGCTCTAGCATTATTGAAATGACTCGTACCGAACGGTTTAATACGAAGATGTACATAGTTACAGCCTTAAAAATGAATAATAGCTGTGGCGCCATAATGTGGTTATAAGGTGGTATTTCAGCTGCAGGACAGCAGTGAAGGCCCAGGTATAAAATGCACGGCCCGCCACTGCCGCTTAATAATATAATTGTCAGCGTTAATTAATTAATGCGTTAACTAATATATATATAATATATATGTGTTTATTCAGAAGGAGATTCACCAAGGAATTGACAGCTCTCCTCAAAATGAAAAACACCATGCTGGGCAAGTTAACGCGTTATTATCGCGTTAACACATTAATTATTAACGCCAACAATTATTTTAGCGCTCGTTAACGCATTTTTTTTATTATTATTAAGCGGACATTTTTAACACAAGTGAACAGCTGTGTTTGTGTGGCGTCTCTCCCTGTTTCCTTCACCTACATTCCCCTGGGTCCTAAGTCCCTCCATGTACAGCTTATTATCACCCTCTATGTACCAACATACATTTATAACAAATACCACACATATTACGGTAATCAGCGTTGCATATGTGTCCGACCAAAATACCAAAAAAAGCAAAAAAGAAATTATTCATTTAAATAATTTTTTTTAGAGTTTTTAAAGTGTTTTTGTTTGGAATATGTATAATAAGCATATCATTTAGTTATTGCTACCGAGAATTTAACAAACATTAAAAAATAGGTTTGCAGTTTTCAAGGTGTATATTTCAAATTGTATCTCTTACACACATGAAGATAAAGTTGTGAACACCGGCTGAATATCTATTATCAGAATCATTATAACTGTATAACTGCTTCTGTGTAAAGGGAATACTGCTGTTAAAAATAACCTTATTTGTTTAAAGTGTTTGCAAATCAAATGTTATTGCACTTTTGTTCATATAGCAGTACTTTTTAAATAGAAGTGCACAATACACTACTTTTGAATTCATTATTGAACTTTGCGCATAACAATTGCGATTAATCGCAAAAAAATCATGCGATTTAAAAATTGTAATTGTTGCCCAGCACTAATATAATATAATATAATATATATATATATACATACACACACACATATATACAAAAAAACTGACTCCTCTCTGTTTGTCTCTCCAGGACACAGACGTACTTTACATAGTCCCTCTGTTTTTTGTGGATGAGTGGAGAAAATTCATCAGGTATGTTTGTTTCAAGAAACAATTGGAATGAACAAAGTAATATTTCTGTTTGTTGTCACAAAATGAAAGGATTGAAGTTGGACTGTATGCTCTCAGGGAACAGGGCCAGCCTTTCATAGAAGGAGTTAGTTAAAAGACTATCATTAGTAGTGGCTTAAATTGATAGTCTGGGAGTTTTGAAGTGGGATTGTATGAGGTTGTTCTCCAGAGTCAGTATTACCTACAGTAGATGGAGGTCAGCACGTTCCCAGTTTGGAGAAGCAGACAGAAGTAGCAGCGCAGGTATTTTAGGTCCCCAAAATAATCAATATCAGTTGAAGTGTACGCACAATTTAAAATATTTTTCCAACATGGAACTAAACTGAAAGTGAAACTTTTCTATACTATCTTTTTCAACAGTCTTGTAGCTTTTAATAGAGCACAGTAAGGTTCACTTTCAGTTCCAATCCCTGTCGGAAAAGGCTGTCTGACGGCAAGATAAAGCAGTGAAAGTATTCAAATGTAGCACACACTTAAACGGATAGACATTTTTTTAGGTGGGCCTTTCTTTGGGATGTCTAACATACATTTTGCTGCTGCCCCCGTCCACAGCAGTACATTGCTTTGCTCCTGTACTGGTACTCCTGTCTGTTTCTACAAACTCCATCTACTGTCGGTAATACACCGACTATGGAGAAGTACCTCATACAGTCCCTCTTCAAAACACCCAGACTATCCCTTTAAACCATTGTCATTCTTTTAGTTAGCATTAAGGTGGACCTGTTAGTTTTTTGAGTTGTCCAGTCCCTAATGATGTTGAATATGACTGGCAGTAAAATGGCACATGGGAGAAGATTGCTTTCAGGGCTTTCTGGCAGAAATCTTCCTAGGTTTAGTGAGTCTGGGGTTCAAATAAACTCTTTCTGGCAGAAATGTTAAACTTTCAAATTATCGTTTTTCTCCCATCTGTGTGTGTATTTGGAAGGAGGCCCACTAAATCCTCTCCAGTGTCTAATGTTGGCAACACATTGCTGCTGTGTCCCCACGGAGGCTTCATGTTCACCTATGACTCGCTCATCAACGGAGATGGACAACAGTGAGTTCTGCTTATTTATATACTATATTTAATAGTTGCTTTTCCCCTAAATTGTATTTGCATGATAGTTATACTTTTAATAGTTTATAAAAATGGAACATCAATTAAACTTTGCTGTCCATTATAAGTCAAAGTTCTAATGTGGATGTCATGTAAACCCTGAAAAGCTGAACTGGTGTGTTTGTGATTGGACGCTGCTGTGGTCTCGTGTTGTGCTGTTTGTCCTGCACAGTGTAGCTCTGCTCTGGCCCAGCGAATGGGAAGTGATCAGCAGGCTCTTCATTGTGGACCAGCCAATCTCCATCCACTGCTTCAAAGAGACCATACTGACTGGTCCCACCACGCAGTACACTACTCAGCCTGGTAAGAGGTAAAAGTTAGGGAACATGGTTCACTTCACATATTCACGGCTTCCACTAGTTTCACACTGATTAAAAATCAAAACACTCCTACAGTTTGATATTTTGAGTGTTGCTTTGACCTTTTTTGGCTTCTCAGCGTCCTTGGTTTCTTTGATACTGATGTGGTGGTGTTCATGTGTTCAGATATCTGTTGGGAGTGCAGAGAGAGCTTCCTCTTCCAGCAGCAGAGGGACCTCAGAGAGTACACCCAAGCCACCATCTACATCCGCAAAGTCATCGAAGACCAGAGGGTATGAACAAGAACTGTATTTTTCCACACAATGTCTGAAATTAGATCCACAGAATGAACATTGTTGTCCTCTGCACAGATGATAAAGGAGGCTGCTCCGGAGCTGAATGCCAGCAGCTCTGAGGCAGAGGAGGAGAAGGAAGAAATTCCAAAGGTAGATGGAGAGAGAGACCCAGACTTCAGTCAGGTAAGTCCATGACCATGCTGTTGCTATAGTGAAAGTAAAAGAAAAGTGTAAAAAAAGTACAGACTTCAGTGACTGTCCTGCATCAACTGCCTAAAATATCACATGACTGCGTTTGTTGCCTCCTTTTTCATTTCTGTCTTTTCTCTCTTACCACAATTTCTGTTTCCTTTGGTTATACTTATGTTCCTGATATGTGCAGTGTGAATAAGTATTAATAATACTAGTAGGGTGAGGAGTATCAATAGCCCATTAACGGGGTAATGGCTGACAGTAAAACTAATAAAAGTAGCAGTACACACAGCTTAGCTTCATCTTTGATCATTCTTGGTTTTAAACTTCGAAAACTTTTGTCTTGACTTTTTTGGAGTTAGCAAAGATGATAACCGAGCACTGTCAGCCCCAATAGCTAACATCAAGCTCTATCACACTGCTTTCTACAGTCACAAGATGGTGCGAAGCGGCTCAAGTTGAGTGACGACAGTACAGCAGCAGCTGCAGCTCCTGTGACCAACATGACCAAACTAGGCGGAATCAGGAGAAGCACCCGGCACAGGAAACTCAGAGGGGAGAAAGCCCTCATCGTTTCAGCTAATCAGACACTCAAAGAGCTAAAAATACAGGTGAGAGCTCTAGATGACTAGCCGGAAGCCTTTAGAACCACATGTGATCTAGGTGGAAGTAATGTAATTACTGTACTCTACAGGGAGTAGTCTTTATTTACAGAGCTGACTGTGCTGTGCTTCTGACCCTGTAGATTATGCACGCCTTCTCCGTGGCTCCGTTTGACCAGAACCTCTCCATTGATGGAAAGAGTCTGACAGACGATTCGGCCACACTGGGGAGTCTGGGCGTCATCCCTGAAAGCATCATCTGTCTAAAGGTACTTTGACATAGAAATCTTAACTGCTGCAGCTTTAATCTTGACTCCCATCACATCTTCTCATGGTGATTACAGACATTTCCCCTTAAATTTCAATATTATTTCCTTACAGGCCGATGAGCCAATAGCAGACTACGCTGCAATGGACGATGTCTATCAAGGTAAATGCTCTTTTCTTCACGTCCTTTTATATTATGTTTCCTTTGAGAAAAGCTAGATTATGATAAGATGTTTCTCTTCATCTTCCTTCACAGTGAGAATGCCTGAAGAGGGATTTAAAGGTGAGCACGCTTTTCCTACAATTGTTTTGAACCATTTTTTTTCCCACCCAGCAGGAAATGAACATCTCTATGATCCCCTCTAATGTGTTTAACTGAGAGGTACTACCCCAATAATGAGACTAAATTCACCTCATGACTCTATCGGCTGAAAAAAACGAGATGTAGGCACCCATCTGGAGGTCTGAAACCGAGCTACAGAGCAACAGGCAATACACCTTTATTTAACATAGTGTTGTTGTCGATCACACATTCTATCATTTGATCCTTATTTTTAGGGCTTGGCCTTGAACCCAAGCACTTTTTGAATACTGTAGGGCTGAGTTTTGATAACACAAGCACAGGAAGTTGATTATTCATAATCAGATTATGTGGTAAATGAAATCTATTTATGTTTTGGTGGAAAGTGTGTTTGTGTTCTGATTTGATCTCATCATTTCTGCTCCTCTCTGCAGGCACTGGGCTTCTGGGGCACTGAGGAAAGCTTGAATTGGACAGCTGACAGATGACATTTTAAAACAAAAAGGCTTGAATTTGTCAAGTGTGCATATATAAATAAGTGCTTTAATTTTTTTTTTTTACGTTTTGAGTAGGCTTTCTTTAATAAAACTGTGACTGTTGCAAAGCCACTGTTTTTCTCTACATAACATTAGCTGGCCTTTGATATTTAAGACTCCTAATCATTCTGAAGGACTGTGTGGTAGTGAATCTGATCTTCAGTCTACTGTTACTCAAGGAAATGGGCTTTGTTTTTGACTCTTAAATTATGGCAGAAGACAAATTGATGATGTTTTTTCTTTCCATTCTGTGGAAGCTTTTGAAGCTGTGTTCTCACTGCAGAGTTTTCGGGTTTGTCAAAAGAATGCACGAGTAACTGTCAACTATTACAAATATAACTGCTCTTAAATGTTAGAACATTTATTACCTCTACAGCAAATCTATATCCATATACTCCATGTGGCGTTTAGATACATAGCTACACAGTATGTATAGAGGCTGATTCCTGCAGACGTTTCAGCAGTGCAAACCTCGAGAGATGGAAGTGAGAAACAGAATGCAAGCAGTGATATGTCCTGTTCTTTTCACTGTTATTTCTTATGGACAATAAAGTTATTTTCAAAACACCCTGTCCTCACATACACATCATTATTCCATTCAAAAATTGTATTTATTCAAGTAACTCAGTGACATTGGGATAATTTCAGTCCTGTGAATATGCAACATCCACACATTAACAATGATTAGTAATGAAGTGGTCACAGGTGTTCCATATGTGTCATCCTTGTCAAATAAGAGAAAATGCACAGCTGCACACACTCAAAAATATGAGTGGAAGGCGGTGTTTATAAATAATTTACAAGTGCAACAAGACTCAGGAACTGAAAACAAGAAGATACATTTAATTAGGAAGTTATCAGAATAAATTAATACAAAATAATATAGGTTGAAGTGATCTAACAATCTGGATTTGTGTAAGTCAATTTAACATAGAATTCAAAAAGCTTGAAAGGTGTTCAAAAGAAAGAACAATGTTACTATATTCAGTTAAGTTTAAGTATAATGGTTTAAGTTAAGTAAAACACAAACTCTGAAAACCAGCTGAAGCAGCTTCCTCCACCTACGACCGCCACCATCCACCCACGGACAAAATATCCACCTTGAGCTGCTGCCTGTGAAAAGACTAACTCCTCTCCACCTACAGCCTCTGCCAGCAAACTGCAGGTGCCGCCTCCACCTGCAGGTACTGGCAAACAGCTGCTATCTTAATCTCCACCTACAGGCTCTACCAACAACCATCACCGCTGCCTCCATCTGTGGATCCTTGCAGACGCCTTCCGCCTGAACCTCCACCTGCGGCCATCAACCTCAGCCTCCACCTGAAGACGCTGCCAGATGATTCTAGCTCCACCTGAAGCCTCCTCCATTTACCTGCACCGCTCGGATAAGAAACACAAACGGTGTAAAAAGAACATGTCTGAGCTGATGAAGTAAAGCTGTTTGTTTACACCATCTCTTTCTCCTCACAGCTATTTCCACACATTGTGACTGTGATGCTGAACTTCATGGACCAGAGAGAGCTCTTCTTCCTCCCTCTAGTCTCAACTCAAGGTAGAGTTGATCAGCCGGATGTTTAGCAGTGTGAGATATTTGGTAGTGTGCCAGTGTGTAGCTGTGCTTCTTCAGTACCTCTGATTGTTTTAATGGAGGGTTGGTGATGCGCGTTATTTCAATACAACACGTGTTCTTTGTGGTTTCCACCAGACCCTGTTGGACTTCACATCCAGATCTACCAGGAGCTGATCCAGAGCTGACGAGGAGGATCCCTTCTACCAGAGCTGTGTACCAGAGATGCTCCTTCCTCCTCCACATCCTGCACATTCACCACCGACTCCTGCTGCTCCTCTCCCAGACTGAGAGCGCCCCTCCCTGTTCAGTTCCCCACAGCCAGATTAGTGGAAGTCTGAAGAATGCAGAGACGCTCCACCGGAGACTTTAGAGCCTCACGTTTCCAGCCGTGCTCGCTAAATAAAGACGGCCAGTTAGCTCGCTCTGTTACTGTGTACGTGTAAACCTTTTCACTGTTGCTCATTAAAGTCCATCATTCTCTGCAGTCGACTGATCAGTCGTTTGTGTCCATAAGAGTTCACATAAAAGAGACATGTTCATATTAGAGATCATAGTCAGTTTCTTTATGTTTTTAACTTCAGTTTGCCAGCAGATATATTTACTTACTTTTTACTTTATGATAAATGAGTTGCTACGAATTATTTATTGGTTAAAAATGCTTGTTTCCCAATGTAAATTAATAAATCATGTCTGCATTTAGAAATGTTAGTATTCTTTAATAAACGCTCTTGAGTTTCTCAATTTTGCATAAGCCATCAATAAGTCAGTCAACCAGAATAATATTTACTAATTTATTAATAAAGAATTCTGTAACACATATGAAGCTCATGTCTATAATGCTTTATATGCACAATCTTAACACATTATATTGTATCTACATATAAACCATCCTATAGGAGAATCTCATCACTGGTATCAAGTATCACATGCATTAACTGTGAGACCAAATCTGAAGAAACTAGAATGTGTTTAAGATGTTTTTCTTTCTGGCTGGTTTCAGTAAAGATTCTGGATCTTTCTGTGATCTTGTTGTAAGAACAATCAGTCTATTGAGAAGGAAACTTGTCTGTTTGGATCTCTTTTTTTTAAGATCCACTGATTTCATATTAAAGTCTCTCTCAATTCTTCACAATCTGTAGTTGTCTTAAAGGAAGACCTTCTTTCAGTGGTCTTGGATTAAAACTGCTTTCAGTCAGAGTGTTCCTGTCAGTGGGTTTAGTGGAAATACTTGTTCTTTGAAGCTTTTCTAACTCACCACTGAACTCAAGACAAATATCAACATATCAGCCCCAAACTGTGAAGTAATGACCACAGTGGTTATTGTGTTAAATACAATCCATTTAAAATAGGACTCATCAAAAAAAATAAAGTAAATCTTGGTGAAACAATCATCTTAGTTCTCTTGAAAGTCAATGGACAGAAAGTATGTGAAAGATAAATCCTTCTCATCAACAATGAGAGCACTGCTCTTCAGCAGCATGTCAGTGTGTATTGTATAGGAGGGCAAAGTAATCATTGCAGAAAACCTGGGGAGCTGCTGCGGGCATTAGCTAACGACATAGAAAGCCTGTTGCGGAGGGCTTATGTACACATGCCCCCCAAAGTACAGAGCGAGCTGGCACGGGACCAGTTCATCAGAGCAATCTTCCCCACTGAACTGCGTGTCCAGGTGCAGCTGCAACACCCACAGTCTTTGCAGGCGGCCTTGGAGATGGCTGTGGAGAGAGAGAATGTGTGGGGTGTAGCGGCTGGAAACTGCCAAAGGGAGGGGCCACCTGCCGTGAGGGCTGCAATGCAGAGCTCCTCAGAAGAAGAGAGACTGGCATGGTTGACTGAAGTGACTGAACTGATTAGGGCTGTGTCATTACAGCAAACACACCGGCCACGCCCCGGGCCCAGGGTCTGCTGGGGGTGTGGTCAACCAGGGCACTTAGCCAGGGAGTGCCCCAAGTCAAGCAAGTCTCAGGGAAACGGCTAAGGGCCCGCATAGAGGAGGATATGCGGACCTCGGCCCTAACTCCAACCCTGTCTTCACAAGCCTCAACATCAGATGGAGGAGCCCAACATCACAGCCAGGGGAGCCAGGCTCCACTTCCCCCAGAAGCAGATGACAGCGCATGCTTGGAGCCTGTCGTTGCAGTGGGACGTACCGGTAAGGGCGATTCTTGTTTCTTCCCTGTCACTGTGGAAGGAGTGCCCTGCTTTGCACTAGTAGACACAGGGTCAACAGTAACGTTGGTGTGGCCGGATATGGTCCCGGACGGGACTCTGTTCGACTCCACCGCTGTGCGATTGCGCACGGCCACCGGAGAGCTGGCACCCATGAAAAGCAGAGGTCTGTTGACTATATCTGTGTGGGGGGGGGGACTGTACGGTACCGGGTGTGGATAGCTTCAGTGCAGGATCCATGTATTCTGGGTTTGAACTTTTTGAAGGCTACAGGCTGCCAGCTGGACCTGCAACGAGGCACAGTGAGGTTCCAAGGGGGGCCTGCTATCACGATGACCACCATCCACACCCCTACTGTGCCTCCTCCCAGACCTCTCACACCATCCGCAAGTACGGTAGAGACTGTATCCGGCAACCTTCCACCCATCGCCTGCCTCCCGGAGGAACCCACCCGGGTGCCTCTTCCCCATCTGACCCCACCATGGCCTACGTAACCCCAACCCTGCCTGGGTTGTACCAGGAGGCGGAGGGGACTCTGGTTGCGCTAAGGGAGGTGTGGAGCAAGAACTGTGGCGTCTACATCCTCAGGAGCAGGAACAGCTGTGGCAGCTTCTGCTAGAGTTTCAAGGCAGTTTCGCCAGGAGTGAGGACGAGGTCGGGCAAACTCATCTAATACAGCATGAGATTGACACAGGGGATGCGCGACCTATCAAGTGCCGCCCACCCCGCCTCCCGCTGGCTCGCCAGCAGGCTTGTGATGAAGAGGTCGCGAGCATGCTGCGGGCGGATATCATCGAGCCTTCCGACAGCCCCTGGGCAGCAGCAGTTGTCATGGTTTCCAAAAAGGTCCGCGGCTGGCGACTCTGCTCTGACTACAGGCCTGTAAATGGAGTAACCAAGAAGGATTCCTACCCACTGCCCCGCATTGACGAGTCTCTACTCGTCAATGCGGGGCAGTGGGTAGGAATCCAGAGGGACCTGGTCTCGGGGTCCTCTTGGTTCTCCTCCTTGGACCTCCGCAGTGAGTATTACCAAGTGCCACTCGCCCCGGAGGCCCGCCCCAAAACAGCTTTCTGCACCGGACGGGAACTGTGGCAGTTCAAGGTCCTTAGTTTTGGACTTTGTAATGCCCCTGCCACCTTTGCGAGGTTGATGGACAAGGTATTGGAAGGGGTCCCCCGTCAGCAGTGCCTGGTTTACCTGGACGACATCCTGGTTCATGGTAACTCATCTGGAAAACGGGACACTGAACTTCATCTACTATAAAGAGCTCTTCCTCCTCCCACAATGCTTTGCAGTTAAGGTACTGTCATCAGTGTGATGCACATACTGTATCTGTGGTGTCTCAATGTCTCTGCATGTATTTTCAGTTCATCCGATGTTTTAATGCTTGTTAGAAATGATCAAGTCTGTAGAAGTCATGAATAGAAAACAGGAATGTTTAATATCTTTGTAATAGAACATCTTAGAATAATATCTGAGGTGTGAACTGTTTGAAGCTCTGATTCTCTTCTGAATGTAAATATTTCTAGTGGAGGTTTTGTGCTGTATGATATATTCATACCAGACATTTTCTCTGTGGTTTTCTCCAGGCCCTGGTGGAATCCACAGAGTTCAAGATCCAACAGGAGCTAATCAAGAACCAACGAATCAATTCCTTCTGCAAGATCTGAGCATCAGAGATGCTTCTTCCTCCTCCTCCTCCTCCTCCTCCTCCTCCTTCACGTTCACCACCAACTCCTGCTCTTCTCAATCGATCTCTGCCGTCAGATCATTGGGGTCTACAACAATTAGCATCAAACAGATTCCTTCATATTGGAGATCTCAGTGGATTTGTGGGAGTTTTAACACAATTTTCTCATCAGACACTTTTCTCATTTTTATTATTTGTTTTGCAGTTTGCCAGCAGCTTTCTGTTATTATCAGTTTGAATGAGGAATGCTAAAACTACTTCTGAACATCTAGACGACCAACTCTTATTATTTAACATAAAGTTCACAAGTTGTTCAAACTTAGAAATATCAATGATCAGCATTTAAAGTAAAAACTTCAGTTGTAGCAACAAACCAGTCCTCAGACTTCACCAACAGTGAACATCATTCATAATATAAAACGTTCTTTTGATTCAATACAAAGTGAGAAATAATTCACTAAAGCTGAACTAAACAGTTGTAGGTTTAACTTCATATCACATGTTTTTCTACATTAATCTTCCAAGTCATGCACTGTTGATATATATATATACCTTTAAAATATATATACAAAATATAGAAAAAGTCTAGTTTTGTACAAAGCGAAATATATTCTTTTTACTTTGGAGCCATTTCAGAACTTTGGACCGTGAACTTAAATGTCCTTCCATTGCCAGGTCCTCCTCCTTTATCATGAGTCGTCATATCTCACAAGGCTTTTACACTACAATTACAATTTTGTCGGTCAATTTTTTCCTCATGACTTCATATTATTGTTTTCTGTTTTTTTTTTAAATACCAATGAATGGGGTTCCTGAGGAACCCTAGTCAAAAACACCAATGGCAGCCAATGCAGTTTTGTTCACAAAATAGATTAGATAAGGTTTGCCATGGGTCCTACTTTAAATGATCACACTATCACACGTCAGGAAGGACGTCAGTCATTTTGAAGGAGACAGACAGATTTCCTCATGAGCTCTGTAAATAAATAAACATCTTGCTGTGCTGGTTGATTGTTACAGTAGTTTATTCTATTCCTTGTATGTTGAATATACGGTTAGAATGAGGGTTAATCTACAATACAAACTGTAAATCACTGTCTCTTAAAACAGCATAAACCACGTGTTTACATTCTGAACACAGAGGTAACTTGTACAAATCTTCTGACTAAATATTGTGGCAAAAGCTCGGAGCTTTTTCCTCAACCGGAAACGTACCCATTTGGTTGCCGTACCGCCCGTCGCCATTTTCAAAACGGCTAAAGCTTTATTGCGCAGAGCAGCGTTGTTCAGTAAAGAAGTTTAAATAAAGAGACGGATCGTTTGAATAATTCAAGGTAATACAAAGACGTCCATTGACTGGAAGCTGCATGTTGGATGGTCCCTGACGACTGTTTTATTCAGATTATAAACGCTCATGTATCCCAATGAGTTTCACTGACCTAACATTAGTAACCTTTTCGAGATTACATTAGCATCCGTAGCTAAAGCTAGAGCGGGCTAGCTCACGTAGCTAAGCCTTGAAGACCCTGTGGACCACAGTGGCATGAGCCTGTAGCCTGAGCAGACAGTCGGCTTGCTTCGTAATGTAGCGAAGGCACCCTAGTTTACGAATATTATCTGACATGACACTTTTTCTTACGCCCAAATCCATATTCTGAATAATCTTACATTTAAGTTAATGCTCTAAACTTGCACCGTAACGTAACATAAGCATTTAAGCGTAAACACTAAACTCGTTTCCTTCCTGATCACATAATCGACTATAGTATATGGAAGCCGGTACCAATATCCATCGTAAACTCCATAAAACCTTTAAATGAATGTGCGTGCTTCTCGTGTGTTCCACCGGTAGATGCTATACTCAGTATTCTGGCTTCTTCTACATTTTTGTCCGTTTGCTGGAAATGTAAAACAACGCAGTTAATTTGTGAATTGAGTTTGACACGATGTTCTCTCCTCACAAGAGGGGGCGGGACGTTCTGCCCCTCAACGAGATGCTGGAGCTACCGAACTACAGCAGCCAGCTGATGCAGCAGCTGTGGGCCCTGAGGAAAGAGGGCCACTTCTGTGACTGCACCATCCTGGTGGGAGATAGCCCGCACCGCGCACATAAACTGGTACTGGCCGCCTCCAGCATGCTCTTCAGGTAGCGTGAGCATGGGCTTTGATAGATGACCTGCAGAGGTTGATCTGTAGGTGATCTAAATGTTTGGAGGGTGTTAGGTCACTCAGGATAAGTCCAGAGTCTCAAGCTGTTAGAGGCAACTCGTCGAGATCATTCTTGATCATTCATCAAAGAGTAGTTTGAAAAAATAATATTAACGTCCGCTTATTATTATTTTTCTGGAGCTTTTTTTTAAAGCAAACTATTTATTCCGATACCAAATGAAAGCTCTGATACTTTTTTCAGTTTGTTAGATGAGAGGAGAAGATCAATACCACTTTCAATAAAGTGGAGTCACAGACAGGCCGAGCTCTGCAGCGTGTTCAACCTGGCTTAGCGGGGGAAACGGCTAATTTATACTGTTTATTAATGTACTTCTATAGGTCGTTACATGTCAGATGATTTAAAAATGTGTTATTTAATGACTCTGATAAACATTTAGACTCTGAGAGACTTGCATATTGTTTATGAAGACAGTTTGAAACCTGGACCTGGTGCATGGCGAAAGCTTGTAAGAGGACCTTTAGATCAGTGATTCTCAACTGGTGGGTCGAGGACTTGTTTTCAGTGGGTCGCGGGCCTTTGCCTGACAAAAAAAAATGTTGTGATTTTATTTTGAAGGGCATTTTTTATGCAGCGGAATTATTCCAGCATTTACGGCACTTGTTCAGCGGTGCAGGAAAAACACCGACCAATGCGTGGTGACTCGCATCACGTGATGCAGCTCAGTCAATCAAATATGGGCATTCTGTCAAGTTTCCTGATTTGAGTGAGATGTAGACACACCGTGACACATGGGGGACAGACGAGGATATAGAGAGCAGAGCAGGACTATTGTAGTGTGACTTGTTAAAGTCAAATCATGGGGCGATCTCCAAAAGAGAAAACCAGCGAAACCAGAGTCATTAGACTGACTGGACAGACTCCTATAAGTGACTTCTTCCCACATTAATTTCTCTTTCTAGAAGATGAGAAAAATATAATATTGTGGCTTTTTCACTTCACCCTGAATGAACTGAATTTAAAGCTAGAGTGAAAATAATTTTTCTAAAATTAATTCTGTTACGTAATTTATTTATTAATCCAGCCATTTTTTTTTTACCTGAAATGAGAAGAACATTTATTTATGTATTTCAATGTATTATTTATAATCCATCCAGTTAAATTTCAAAAATGAGAATAATAATTGTTAAAATATAATTGATGTGTACTTTCTTTATTTGATTTGACAGTTGTTTACTACACAGAGATGTTATTACTACTAGACTTCTTGAATATATATATATATATATATATATATATATATAAAATTTGGGTCGCGGCTTGTCATTAAGGGGTGATGGTGGGTCCCGCAGCCAGACCAGTTGAGAACCACTGCTTTAGATTATGTTGTCAAGTCATTCTCAAATATTGGAGGGCAGATTGTCAGGTTTCAAACTGTCTTCATAAACAATATGCAAGTCTCTCAGAGTCTAAATGTTTATCAGAGTCATTGAATAACACATTTTTAAATCATCTGACATGTAACGACCTATAGAAGTACATTAATAAACAGTATAAATTAGCCGTTTCCCCCGCTAAGCCAGGTTGAACACGCTGCAGAGCTCAGCCTGTCTGTCGTGACTCCACTTTATTGAAAGTGGTATTGATCTTCTCCTCTCATCTAACAAACTGAAAAAAGTATCAGAGCTTTCATTTGGTATCGGAATAAATAGTTTGGTTTAAAAAAAAAAACGTAAATAATTAAAAAAAAAGTGTGATATGAAGAGCAATTAAGAAAAATATAAGAACAGATTCTCAAGTTCCTGAGGCCAAGTCAAGTGGTTACAGGCAGACTGTTGACCATTATTACAGTGGCACTGCATTTTCATATATACAGTGGGTACGGAAAGTATTCAGACCCCTTTAAATTTTTAACTCTTTGCTTCATTGCAGCCATTTGCTAAAATCAAAAAAGTTCATTTTAATTCTCATTAATGTACACTCGGCACCCCATCTTGACAGAAATGTAGAAATTTTTGCAAATTTATTAAAAAAGAAAAACTGAAATATCACATGGTCATAAGTATTCAGACCCTTTGCTCAGTATTGAGTATAAGCACCCTTTTGAGCTAGTACAGCCATGAGTCTTCTTGGGAATGATGCAACAACCTTTTCACACCTGGATTTGGGGATCCTCTGACATTCTTCCTTGCAGATCCTCTCCAGTTCCGTCAGGTTGGATGGTGAACTTTGGTGGACAGCCATTTTCAGGTCTCTCCAGAGATGCTCAATTGGGTTTAGGTCAGGGCTCTGGCTGGGCCAGTCAAGAATGGTCACAGAGTTGTTCCGAAGCCACTCCTTTGTTATTTTAGCTGTGTGC